TATATATATATATATATATATATATATATATATATACATACATATACACATACATACACATCTACTTACATATAGATATACATATATATACTCATATAATACACATACATATACATACATACACATATATGCACATTCACATATAAGTACATAACTACATACACATACATACACGTAGACTTTATAAAAAAACTATGATAATTAAGTAACATAAAATAATACTTGGGTTAAATAACATGAATTTGGTGAAATAATTAATTGCACAAAATATTATGGTGTTTAAGTTTTTTCTTTATGTTAGCCTCAAAAAAACGCATATCGAAAAAGTTCGAACTGCCGCAATACTCATTGACTTCTTTGGCTAGTCTATTTAAAGGGCTATTATGCACGTACTTTTTTGAGGATTTTGCTGCACAGATTAATCTATTGGATCGAAATCCTGGCCTTGGAGTGACAAATTGTATCTTTTCTAAGAGTTGTGGTGATTCAATAACGCCGTTTACTATCTTGTTTAAGAAAAGCAAGTCCGTGATTTTTCTACGCGCGGTAAAGGTGTTATTTCTCCTTTTCTTTATGATGTCATCAGCGTTGCATTCTCCTAGCATTTTATAGTAGGCAAAGTTCGACACATATTTCTCAAACCTATACTGCACCTTATTCAATCTATTAATCAATTGTTCAGTGTTTGGAGACCAGACGATTGAACAATAGTCCAGAATAGGTCTGATTAGGGAAGTATATAGACAGTAAAGTATTTCCAGTTTATGGAAGTCATTGATGCATCTTGTTATGAAGCTGAGTGTACGAAAAGCTTTTAGAATGAGTTTGTCTATGTGTTCAGTGAAGCAGAGTTTGTTATCCATATTGACTCCTAGATATTTTATTGTCATTATGACAAGCGTTATTCAATTTTTTAACTAAAAATCTTTTAGCCAATAAACTTATATCTTATATCTAGCGGTGTTTCACCTGCTTCAGTCAGTAGAGCGTTTATTGGGGTAGAGCGGATGGCTCCTAGACAGATCCTAATGGCTGAGTATTGTATTTTGTCTAGTTGATATTTTTTTTTGCCTCAAAGCACCATAAATGAAGCATCCGTAATCTAGCTGTGACCTTATCAAAATTTGCCTCCATCTTTATAGCGGAGCTGATGGCATTACATGTAGCAACAAAATATGTTATAGACAAAAATGTAAATAAATCGATCATTTTCAGTGATAGCAAATCGAGCCTAATCGCAATAAACAATCCGAGCAAGCATACAAATATATTGATATATGAAATTATAAACAATCTCAACGAAAGAAATGTAGGAGAAAAGTCAATGATCTTAGTATGGCTTAAGGGGTTAGGGGTACTTGGAGGCACGAAAAATGAGAATTTTCAGTATTTTTTTTTGTTATTAGACTATGTTTTTTTACAAAAATATTAATACGGCATTATTATACAATGTTCTGACTTAAAGTAACATAAACTTTAGAAAAAAAATAATAAATATTCCCAAAGTTATAGCTATTTTTGTTGACCCTGTTTCAAAAAACGGTCCTGGCGGTGACCATTATAACTCATTAGAGATTCATCTAAAAGCAATCAAATAAAAAAAATAGTTTTATAAATAGATAATCCTGCGCCTGATCGAAGGTTTTCTTTTTTTTGCAAAAAATAACAAAATGGCAGCATCAGAAAAAAAACTTTAGATTTTTGGGTAAAAAATCAACAGTTAATTGGTCTTAAAAAATTGAAATTTTTGAAATAATAAAAAATCCTTCGATCAGGCCCGAGTTTATTATGTATTCTAAAAGCTGTATAAATTTCATTAAAATTTACTAAGCGGTTTTTGAGTTACAGTGGTCACCGATTCAGAAAACATAGTTTTGAGAAAAACGCGTTTAAAGTTTCACATTGGATTTACGTACAGAAATTCGAATTATTGAATTATTAAACCGAGTCATCTATTTCTGGGCCATATAATGGTTCATCAGTCATTGTGCACGTTTCCAAAATTCCCATTTGCTGTTGCCTACGAAGCATTATGGCCTCCAGAGTGTTCTCGTTGGCGCGCTGATCTGCCACTTTCACACGTGCAGCATCTAATTTTTCAGCATACCAATGGTAATTATACCCACAATTAGGTCCTAGGGAATCCATTATCAATAATAATGATAATGTATATGTATTCAGCAATTTGTACGATAGTAGAACTAGTATTCACGGTTTTTAGGCATATTTTTTACATCGGTTGGTTGAAGCTTTTAATTTTTTCTGATTATGGATTCAATCTTGAACTACACATCTTGAAAGTAAATTATCATTGCTGAGATCGTCGTAAATCGGTTTAAAAGCTTTTAAAACATCAGGAGGTGAGGGAGAATAATTTTGAGTATAAGTATCGAGCTCTCCACTTGCGTCAATGCGCTGGTAAGAGTCCAATAACTCAAAAAGTAATCATCGGGTCAACTTGAAATTTTCATAGAACATTTTCAAGATATTACACTTAATGAAAATGCAAAAAAATAAAAATCGATTTTTCAAAAATTCCAAGTACCCCTAACCCCTTAAAGGACATGCAAATATAAATGGTAACGAGATAGTAGATGCGTTAGCAAAAGAAGCTTGCCATAGCGGCGAAGATTGTGACAAAATTTCATCTTTAGAATTAAATAACGTAATCAAACAACAGTGTATAGAAAGATGGCAAACAATCTTTGCAGAATCGACAAAAACAAAAGGCATCACATACGCATTAACAAAGAATAAGGTATTGCAAACGTGGAAGAAAGTAGAATTTTCATCTCGGTTATTTGTAGACTGAGATTTAGACACACCTTCTGCAAGAACCACTTGAAAAGAATTAGAATCATAACGGACTCAGCATGCGATTTTGGAAGCGGAGAGGAAACAATAGATCACCTGTTTTGGGAATGCAACTTATTCCAAACCGAAAGAAGAATATTAATATTAAACTTACTTAAAGAAAATGTTATTTTCCCAATCAATGTACAATCATTAGTAGCTAGTAATAATTTAAAAATTTATAAATATATATTTAATTTTATTAATAATACTAAAATTAATCTATAAGTTAAAGATTCAACAAGAATTTGTAGTAAAGAATTGTAAGAATGGCATCTGGCCTTATGATGTATACCAATAAATAAAAAAAAAAGTTTTCTTGCCAAATTATTGTATATTATTTTGTCGTGCTGGTTATGACTTTTTTGCCTAATATTTCTTGCCTTTCGTTTTCCTTTATAAGCTGCCTAATTTTCATTGGTACGTTGATTTCCAGTTTCTGTTGCGCTAGTTCTGAGATCCAATCCTAGCAGCTTGTTGAAGAGTACCTATAAATTGTTTCGTTATTTCGTCGAGATCATTTTTATTTTTAACTTCCCGTAGGGTAAGTTATTGTAATGGGCTGAAAATCGAAATTGAATTTTTTTACATTTCTCGACGTTTTGAAGGTTTCTGAACATTTTGGCATACCTCACAAAAAATGGATGTGTGTGTGTGTATGTGTGTGTGTGTGTGTGTGTTTGTATGTATGGATACAAATTTTCGGCCGCAAGGATTAACTGATTTGAATGGTAAAAAAAACCATCGATTTCTTTCGATAGGGAGATGTGCTGATTAGTTTTTGGCAAAGGCAGGTCCAGCAGTTACGGAGATAAAGAGCAAAGAGTGCAGAAAATAGAAATCGAGTTTTTAAGAGAACGGAGCATCCTATTTGAATGATCTAAAAAACATTCAATTTGTAATGATTGGGAGAAGAGGTGATTAGTTTTTTGGAAATGGCAGGCCCAGCCATTTTGAAGATACAGAGCTAAATGTGCAAAAAATGGCAGTTTTTAAGAGAATTAAGCGTACGATTTAAATTATTCAAAGAACTTTCTGCTTGTCTTAACAAAATAATTGATTTTGGAAAAAAAAATCAACTTTTTTTTTCAATTTTTGTTTTTTTTTTAATTTTTTTGTATATCGAAAATAATTAACTATACTTCTAATATACTTTAAACAAATAATTTCAACTTTGCAATTCAGTTTATATAATTCTTATAAATATTAGACAATACTACAATATTTATTTTTAATAATCTATTTGAAAACATTCAGTATTCCTCGAACATTTCGTTACGGTACGGGAAGTTCCAGCAATTTGCCTTAAGGCACGATGCCATACACCCCACTAGTTAATTCTCACTTTAAGGTTGATTTTTGAATCATTTACATTTCTGAAACACTCCAAATTCGTTTTGTGATTGTATAGTTTGCGTTGTTTCTTCTGTTTTATTACATTAGTACTTAGGGTTGGGATTATGGTCGTATGGTCCGAAGATAAGTCGTTATTACTTTCTGTATCAATATAATTGCTTGAAATATTTTTTGTTATAAAAAAATCTAGCAAATCTGGTATCTTCTCAATGTCTGTTGGCCAGTAAGTGTGACTCCCAGTTGATATTATGGTATAGTTTTGCATACACAACCACACATATATTCATTTTTTCTCAGGCCAAATTTTCGATTGTTTTGCGATAAATATAACTTACCCTACGAGAAGTTATTAAAAATATAGGAACGATGTAATTAACTTTGATTCTGTTTGTTGTATATTTGAAGATTAAGTAGTTGCGAGTTTTGCCTCCATTTGCTAATGTTTTATTTATAGAATGTAATAGTACTTAAATTACAGGAATCAAATAATGAAATATATGATTAGGTCATATTGCATAATGTGAAATTACTATTTTTAAAAGATTTCAAGAGTATTTATTCTTATATTTTTACAAGGTTTTAGATTATTTTGTTATGGTCCTCCAATATCCAAACTAAAATCGCAATCCAATATAAATCAACCACAACTTGTCATATATCATTATTTAAATCATTTGTAACATATCATAAATTAAACACCGCATTGTTTATCAATCATTATTCAAATAATTCGCATTATATTACAAGTTAATCGCGACAATTAAGTAATTAATGAATCATTTTTTCTGTAGGTATCGCGAAAATGGATGCGCCATCAGAAGCGCAGTGTGACGATGAGCCCGGTTGTTCTTCCGGCAGTGACGAGAAATTCGAAGCTGTAGGTTCTGCTGATATCAGGTATTTAATATCAGAATATGTATATTGTGGCAAGTTTTTATTGCACTATATTTTTGTGTTTTATTGACAACAATTAAATTGAATAGCAGAAAAAAGACAAGTTTGTTTGCACGAGATAGGTATAAAAATTAATAATGCAGTGCATTTAATTAATAATAGTGATTATATAAATGTAATATAATTAATGAGAATAATGATGGAAAAATAGTTGATTCGAATACGGTAAGTCGTGTTAAAAATAGTGATATAAAATAAAAGTGGCGTGATTAGTACTAATAAATTAGAAACAAGAAGAGAATTCAAAAAAAAAATGGATAAGATAAATAGATCAAAAACGATCCCGAAAAGCAATAATAAAGTTATTTCTTATGAAGATTTTATTAAAAAAATAATACTGGGAATGAAGGAAAATCAATCAACGGAAGCAAGAAATATCAATCAAAATAACCCAAGCGATAATCATAATGAACCACATAAGAACTGGAATATTATGGTAACAGAAGATGAATTAGGTTCTATCATATGGTATTTGTAAAAGAAATTAATAAGAATAAAAATGATATGGAAATTAAAGAAGAATTTAATAGAAATCGTGATGTTTTAGAAGCAGAAAGAATCTAGAAGGAATCGCAACGAAATGGTAGTTGAAAAAAATTCTAACAAGTCATCTGTTATTAATCATGATCAACAATAAATTGATTGTTGTTCATGATTAATAACAATTGTTTTAAACATTTTGAAATAGATAATTATAATCACTGTATATTATATCGTTCATAAAATATACAGCGACGATCTTATCGCTCAAAGCCTCTTACATTAGCAAAAGGTCCCGAATAAATCCATCTGATGATATATTTAACTTCCCGTAGGAAGTAATCGCAAAAAAATCGAAAATGAAAATTTTTATATATCTTTGCGTTTCAGAGGTTTCTGAATATTTTGGCATACCTTAGAAAAAATTGATGTATGTGTGTGTGTGTTTTTTTTTAACTTCCCGTAGTGTAAGTTATTGTAATCGTCCAAAAATCGAAATCGAAAATTTTTACATTTCTCGACGTTTTGAAGGTTTCTGAACATTTTGGCATACTTCAGAAAAAATGGATGTGTGTGTGTATGTGTGTGTGTGTATGTATGTATGGATACAATTTTTCGTCCACGTTTTCAGGCGCACGGATCAACCGATTTGAATGGTTCAAAAAACATTCGATTCCTATCGATAGGGAGATGTGCTGATTAGTTTTTGCAAAGGCAGGTCCAGCAGTTACGGAGATAAAGAGCAAAGAGTGCAGAAAATAAAAATTGAGTTTTTGAGAGAACTGAGCATCCGATTTGAATGATCCAAAAAGCTTTCAATTTGTAATGACGGGAAGAAGTGGTAATTAGTTTATGGCAAAGACAGGTCCAGCGGTTTCGGAGATACAGAGCTAAATGTGCAAAAAATGGTCGTTTTTGAGGGAACTAAGCGCCCGATTTGAATGATTCAAAGAACTTGCTGGTTGTTTTAACAAAATAATTGATTTCATTTAAATTTTTGTTTCAATTTTTTTTTTCAAAAAAAATTTTTTTTTGTATATTCAAAATAATTCAGAATTTTATTTTAATTCTGTTCTAATATACTTTAAACAAATAATTTCAACTTTGCAATTCAGATTATTTAATTCTTATAAATATTAGACAATTACAATATTTATAATAATCTATTTTAAAACATTTAATATTCCTCGATCATCTCGTTACGGTACGGGAAGTTCCAGCAATTTGCCTTAAGGCACGATGCCATACACCCCACCAGTTTTTTTTTATAGAGGTGCGAAAAAAAATCTTCATAAGACACCGCCATCGTTGATACTCCGCTGTCCATCCTACTGCAGACAACGACGGAGTGCAGCGTGGAGATTTTTACCCACTAAAAAAAACACTCCTCTTCCCTCTCCCCGCAGATGGTACGGAGAGGATTGGATTGGAACCGCGTTAGCATTACATCAATCCAGTTCGTGCTGCGCCTTGCGATGCCTGCTTTCGACTACTGGTCCCTTTCTCCGGTTTTAACCTTCAAAAGATGCTGTGCATAAGCTGCTACAGCTGACCAGTTTTCTTCTTGTTTCATCATGTAGGTCACAAGACTTGAGGGGGTGAGCCTGGTGCCTATAATGTGCTCGGCTTTGTTACGATAGTCATTCCACAGATCACATTTAAAGAACGTGTGCTCAGCGTCGTCGATTTTATCTGGACAGTATTTGCACATTGGCGTGCTATGCAAGCCCATCTTGAAAAGATAGACATTGAACTGTCCACGTCCTGTCAGTAGCTGGGTCAGAAAGAAGCTGTGTGACCGTATTGTCAAGAGAGCCAGACGCTAATGTCCGGAATCAGACGCGCCGTCCATCTACCCGTCTCTCCTGACGTTCACCGACTTTGCCACTCTTGTAGAGTTTCTTTTTTTATTCTTGACCTTGTTTCTTTGGAGCTGTCGCCACCTATTTTAGCGTCGTAAAGTTTTACTCTCTCGAATGCTAGCAAGTCAATTTGTATGGCTCCTGCTATTACCAATACAGCTGCTTCAGAGACCGTGCGATAAGCACAGGTAACTCTTAGAGCTCCTCGTCTTTGCACTGACGCTATTTTGCGCCGATATGTTTTTTGCTTGAGGATATCCGCCCATATCTCTGCTCCGTATAGCAGTACAGAATGGACTACCTCAAGCAGGACTCGTCGTTTTTGGGTTCGTGGTCCCATGCAGTTAGCCATACTCCTTGACAAGTTGGATACCGTCTTGCTAGCTTTTATGCATGCGCTATCGAGATGTTCACGGAAGGATAGCTTCTCATCTATCATTACTCCCAGGTAGCGCAAGGCCCTTGTCGACGTCAAAGTTGGCTCTCCTATGTCTACAGTGAATGGTTTTGGAAACCATTTTTGTCGGGTCAAGACAACCATCTCCGTTTTCGGTTTGGCGAGTTTTAAGTGGTGTTTCTCAAGCCAGGTCTCTATGGCATCGACGGTCTCTCGAAGGAGTAGTTCAGCCTCCTCAGTGCTGTCCACTACGACTGTAGCTGTCGTCCACAAAGCCCGTGAGTTCCACTTGCTTCGGCAAGGGGATCTTCATGAGCTCGTCGTAGACAGCGTTCCACAAATCGGCTCCTAAGATTGAGCCTTGAGGTACACCAGCTGTAACCTCGTGTTCTTGATGACCTTCTGTCGTTTCCACTATCAACTTTCTCTCATCGAGGTAGTCGTCTATGCTCTAGGGTGTGTAAAATATCCTCCCAATTCGCACTGTTAAAGGCGTTTTTAACGTCGAATGTAAGGAGGAGATACACTTTACGAACTTTAAAGCTACCACGCCATGCTTCTCTTGCTGTTTCCGTTACCTTCCGAATCGCGCCGATCGTCGATCATCCTTTTTGAAATCCATGTTGGTTGTTGAAAAAACCTCCGGCGCATTCAATGTCGTTTCGCAGTCTGCATTGAATGAGATTCTCAAGCAGTTTTCCGGCAATGTCTAACATGTAGAGTGGTCTAAACGATGATGGTGTTACAGGGGTTCCCTTAACTTTGTCTATTAGGACCAATCTTTGCCGCTTCCGGACAGTAGGAAAGGTGCCGGTTGCCAGATAGGCATTGTAGGCGTTCAGAAGAATCTCTGGAAATTCCAGGGCTACAGTCTTGATCACTAAGGCTGGGATGCCATCAGTGTCTGGTGCTTTTCCTGTCTTTATGGTTTTCGCCGCATCTTGTAGTTCCTTGATGGTGGAGGGTGTAGTTTCACTGTTTTTCACGTATTGTCTCCTTTTCCGTGGCGGGTGTTTAGGGAATAATTCCGCTACGATGCAATTCATCAGAGCAGGAGATTTTGGTGCTTCTGGCAAAGCTCAACCAAGTCGTTTTGTAACAATTTGGTAGGCTTTACCCCAGAGATCTTTGTCAAGATCATTGCAAATCTCCTTCTACAATCCGGTTTTAGCTGATTTTATGACTTTATTCAGGGTCTTTTTTGCCTGTTTGTACTCATTTGTATACATATCTTGGTGGGGGGAACGTTTTGCAGCTCTTGTGGCGCGGCGACGTAATGCGTGGCATCTTTTTTGTAGTTCTGCTATTTTTGATGACCACCAATTTGCTGGACTGTGTACACCCTGATTTTTTGGTCGTGGCATAGAGGCGTTACATGAGGTGACAATAGCGTTCATAGTTTTAAGAACCATTTCTTCCGTCTCTCTGCGGGTACTTATTTTTGGATCAGCTTGAAGAGTAGATGCGTTTTGCTCGAGGGCTGTTCGCAACGCTTCATGGTCAAGCTTCTTGGCATTCCACCCTCGTTTGCAAAAGTTGCTTGGTCGAGTCGGACCGGATCCAATACTAAATGTCACATGTTGATGGTCACTGCCACTATACTCCTCAGATACAGTCCAGTCTCCAATCATGTTCGCTGTCCTTGGAGTGGCAAACGTAATGTGGAGAATAGATTTCTGATATCCTGGTCTTCTAATACTACTAGTATTTAACACAGTAAGGTCCAATATTGCAGCAAAGTCTGCCACGTCATTTCCTCTAGAGTCCGAGTATTCGGCGCCCCATTCAGCCGATTTTGCGTTGAGATCACCAGCTACAATGACTTCTCCGTCAAATTTGCCGAGAGTGTCTACTATGCTTGCCATTTTCTGGCGAAATACGCTAATCCCTTCATTTGGTGAAAGGTAGACGCTCACACAGTAGGTCGTGGGAGTCTTGATCCAGACGAAACCCTCGCCGCTTCCGTTGTCATTGACGGTGATCTTCTTCGAGTTTGTGATCCATATTGCTGCCGTGCGAGATTTATCTGCAAACCATGATTTATCATGAATATTCATATATTGCTCGCAGATAAGGCAGATATCGATCTTATCTTCAAAAATACGTTGGCGCAGTAGATTCTGCGCCAAGGTACATCTATTCAAATTACGTTGTAGAAATCGCGTCATTTCTGTTCTCTCGTGGCTTCGGCAAGTGCTTCACGG